TACCTGAAACAGATTTCTCAGTTCATCTTATCTAGAGGTTGCAAATTAGCAACCCGGAGCTAAATTCAGCCCAGGAGAAAATTACATTTTGTTCAGAATATTTGTTCAAACCGGTTTATTTAAGAACTACAAGATTTTGCATGAAAATATCTGAATTTTTCAACTTCTCTTTTTTAAAAAAATCAGGTCTGGTCACCAAGACCTGCACTCAGTTTGAAATTGAATAGAACGCCGCCCTCTTTAAATGAAACTGTGTTCTGCCACAGTCGCTATTATCCCCCAGCCTCATATTAAATAAAGCTGGTGTGTTGTTGGCTTTCTGTTTCATTATTTTGCTTTGCTCCAAGCTCTCTTTATTCACAAGTATTTTCTATCTTGTCCTTGTGGCCATGAGTGCTTGCCACTACTGGCCTAGAGATACCCTAGATGAGGTAGCTAAGAATCAGAGAAGTTAAGAGACTCACCCAAGGTCACACAACTGAATAGTGTAAAGCAAGGAGCAGAACTCAGGTCCTTTGCAATCATGCCTCCTTCAACTTGGCAACACTGCCCATTCTGAGAAGGTTTATTTCCCTGGATTCATTTGATTATTCACATTCAGGTAGTACAAACTGTATTTGCACTTATATTTAATATATTCTAGTGATTGAGTTCTAATATTTTCCCCTAAAGAATGATAACAGCCAAAAGGAAAAAAAAAAAAAAGAAAAGCTCTTCTTTCCAACTGAATTTGCAAATAACTAGCACCCAAAAACCAAACACCCTCTTCTGTGTCCAATAAAACATCAACCTAATAAACACATAGGATTTCAATTTTCTAGCAAAATCAAGAGTAGGCCAAAACCTTATTATTTCAGACTCTGCATTGATAGTGCAAATCAATAGTACAAACAAGATTTCTGGGGGAAAGGTTAAAGTAATTGGCAGAACACTCTGGTGTTAAGCCACCATAACCAGTGTCAAAGAAAAGAATTAAATACAAATAATTGATAAGTGCATTATAAATCATTTTATTTATACATAGCCACACAAATATATATGTACACACACACACACATACACACACACATATATATATGTTAGGGACTGTGCCAGACATAATCTCTATAATCTAATTTCAGTTATTACCTACACTTGTACTTCCAATTAGTCAGGAATTGTGAGGACTAAGTAAACCAAAGAAAAGATTGATTAAGGGCTTCTTTAATCTTTACTTGGAGAAGGAGATCACTCTAGACCAAGGTTTACTCACTTCGCCTATGCATTAAGCACTAAGCAGGGTTATGGTTATGATTTGCTCTGGCTCTAAACAGATGCAACTTGGATTGACTTACTTTCAGATTCCACATAGAAAGGAGTTAGGATTCAGTGGCACAGTTCACATTAGGCTCACATTTTGGATGAGACTCAATTTAAACAGAGCAAGTTGAAAGTAAAATTGTCTAATCACTGTGTCTACAATATTAATCTGTCAGATTAGAAAATTGGGAATGGGGATTACCTTAGCTCTCCTTTAAGTTTAGCACACAGGTAGACATATACGAGACTTAGTAGTCACCATTGGCTACCCACCCAGGATCCAATCTCCCTCTTTTTTAGGCAAACCCTCACTGTCCTTAAGTATCTATGATTAATAATTATATGGACTTACTATTGTTTGTAGCTAATATGTATTCTGATTGGGTATTATGTACTAGATGTTACATATGTAGGATATGGTCCTTTTCAGTCCTGACTATAGAAATGAGTTCTGATTGGTATCAGCCAACTACAATAATCCTATTCTTCTTGCCAATGATTGGTTAAGATACCAGATTGGAGCCAATCACTATAGAATATTGCCCCTATTGAAAGCTATTGGTCTATGGTTGTACCTACAACTCAACTGGCCCCCACAGACAGAAGAAAAAGAATATTAGGGCCCAAAATTAAGGGGAAATTTTTCTCTCATTCACAAAGAAAATATTAGCCATTTGTCCAGGCTGGTAAGTGGTAGACCTCTTGAAATTCTAGGTACAGTTCCCCTTAAACAAATACTATGTAAAAATAAGTGTATGCATGGGGAGCATGAAGACTCCCAGAAAAATATTCCCAAGGTACTATGACTGAAGACTGCCCTAGCTTCTGTCAAGAAATAGTAAATTTCTTTATTGTTTAAACAACTTTAGATGCGATTTCTGTTGCTTACAGTGAAAAATATCCCATATTGGGCCTCCCTGGTGGTGCTGGAGTTAAAGTCTCAGTGCTATCAAGCTATTGCCAGCCACTGTAGCATGAGTTCAATCCCCGGCCACGGAGCAAATATACATGGCACAGCAGACCTCTCCTGTCTCGCCTGCTGCTCCCCTCAGCAGTGTATTTCAGTAGATCTGTCTGTTCTGCTCCCCACTCTGTCTCTGGTAAATCCCCTCACCCCCACTCCTCTGGTTTATACCTCAGTTCTTGCACGCATAAATAAATCTCAAAAAAAAATCCCATATTTGCACAAGTCATCCTATTCAAAATAGGTTAGAGGAGTTTTGTAGGTGAAGCCAATTTTTTAACCTATCCCCATACAGATTTTTTAAATCAGAGTAGAAAGAGCAACTATTTGGAGCTCCAAAGTTCAGAGTTTAATGTACCATATAGTACACACACACACTTGTAATTGCATAAGAAAGAGAGGTTAATAAAGTGAGGAAATGTAGCTCTGGGATGAGATAGACTTGGGTTGTCTCAGCTCTGCCTCTTTATAAACTCTGTGACCACAGGAAGTGTCAATATCGTAAATTATGGGACTAATAAATATCTCACAGCATTGTTTTGAGAATTCAATGAAGAGAAATGTACAAAATACCTAGCATACAAGATAGAAACTCAATAAATAAAAGACATTTTCCCTCTTTGCCCCACCCCATCTTCCAAGAAGTCTTTCCAGATCCCTAACCCAATGTTCCAGACATTCCAACTGATCCAGCATCATTTTACCCTTTTCATTTCTTCCCTTCCAACTCCACACTTGCTTATCTGTTTATCCCTATTATGTTTTGTGTGGCTGGTATACATTTCATTGATGACATTTACAGGTAGTTACTATGTGACGGGTACTGTTAGGACATTTAGTCCTCATGACCGCAATGATCCACAATGCAACATGCTTGTTTTATAGTTGATGAGATGGGGCTCAAAGAAGTGATGTTAACTTCTCTATGATTGTTTTCAAAGGTGAATTAGGAGGGCAAGGAATCTCAGGTCAATGAGACCCCAAAGGCCATATGCTCTTAGCTACTTTGTTATGCTGCCCATCCAAGGAGTAATTTAAATATAAATCATAGGGCCTCCCCAGTGGTGCAGCGGTTGAGCACTGGGTTGTGAAGCTGCCCGCAGCCTCTGCAGTGCCAGTTCGATCCCCGGCTGCTCCCCGGCCACCAGAGGAGGGTCCGGCATGGCACGCAGACCTCTCCTGCCGCCCGCTGCTCCCCTCAGCAGTGTACTTCGGTCCTTCTGCCTGCTCTGCTCCCCACTCTGCTCCCCGCTCTGGCTCTGGTGAATTTTCTCACCCTCCCGCGCTTATGACTGTACCCAGTGCTTGTATAAATAAATAAAAAATAAATAAATAAATCTTTAAAAAAATATATATATATAAATCATATAATTTCATTCCAGTGGACTGAAATTCTTCACAAGCACACCCATTGTTTTATAAGGAAAGTAGGTAACACAAGGACCTGACAGTCACCTGTTCTAAGTCATCATTGTCAATGCAGTTTTAATTGCCTACTGTGCAAGTCTTCTTGGGCCAGGGATGTACTAAGAAGTCTGAGACATTGTTCTTGACCTCAAGAGGCCCAAAACCAGATACAGAAATAGAATCTCTATATAGCAAGCAATATGAGATAGCATAGATATCCCCTTATTTCCCTGGGGAGAACTGCCAAATATAAATGCCAGGAGAGGTCAAAGGAAGGAGCCTACCAAGAGCTGCAGTGGAATGGATAGGGGTTCAGCAGCAACAGTGAAGTGAAACATTACCAAAAGTTCGAAGGGGATTGGTTGATGCAAAACCAATCTGGGTTTGCTATCTGTGCTTTTCAAGTACGGTTCCTGCTCTCCCACAGAGTCAGAGATTGGGGCCACATCTTCAGGTATTTGCCGGAACAAATAGTAAATTCTTTGGGAGCTTTGAGAATTCCCAGGCAGCCACTTAATAAAAGGGCCACGGGTCACCCCAGGGATTGCTGCATTGAATTGCTAGACCCATTTAGAGTTTGTTTTCTAGTCTTTATAGGTCAAGGTCAAGGACTGGCAGAGAAGAGAACTGAGAGAAACCTGGCTAGAATTTGGTCGTTTTGTCATGGGGTGTCTAGCAAGCCCACCTGGCACTAACAGAGCTCTCTGCATAGAAAAGCAGTGGATTGATCATGAGAGGCCAAAATCCAGGCTGTGGGTGTAAGCAACATTCCCAATTTTCCCAGGACTGAGGGGTTTCCAGGGATGGGAGAGATTTGGGGTTAAATTGGGGAATATCCAGGCCAACAGGGACTCAACGTCATCACTCTACCTGGATGCATCAAGCACCCAAGAAAGGTCACTGAGCAGGAATTCGGTGTGTATAAGTACTGGTGTTTTCAGGTGACTCCTTCAGCTTTAAAACACGAAAGACCCCAAGCTTCACTGGCCATCTATCAGGTCAGATTGTTTGGCATGTCCTGTCCTGTGCCTGGCATACTAGTTCTAGGCAACTTAGTCAATGTTCCCAAAATTCTAAGCTAAAATGGGTCTACTTCCTTTGATATGGAAACCTCACATACACAGCACTGCACTCTATAACGTGATGGAGGAGATGACACCCATTCACTGCTAGATCTGCATTTCAAGGACATTGAGGTATTTGACTCCAGAAACAGACTGGGATTCCCTCTCCACCAATGCCAAACCATGGGACCTTCTGTACAGGGTTTTTACCCTTCTTAAGCCTCAGTCTCCTCATCTATAATACAGAGATAGAAAGCACTACTTACCTCACAGGGTTAGAGGGAGAATTCAGTGAGATTATGCATGCAAAGCCATTACCAGGGCATCTGGAATATATTAAGCATTCAGTGAGTAGCAGTTATTGTTGTAATGGTGCTGATTGTTTTTGTTGTTAAGCATGGAAAAGCAGCATGATTTTATCCATAGTGTGCAAAGGTCACATCCTGAAACATTTCTGCTGTGTGGGATTTTCAGGTGAAATAAACAAATATGAGGAATCTATCACATAAATAGAAGTTGACCCTGGGTTCCTTAGACTTCTGTAATGACCACTTGGAGACTTCTGGAAAAACAGAGTAGACTAGAGACAAATGCTTGCATGGCCCATGGGTGCCATCCATCAGTGGGAGAGGCCTAACCCCAGATTTTATTTTCTATATTAAGGGGAGGCCAAAAGAAGGGGCACAAAACCCAATAAACAAAAACAATTGATTTTGGAAATCTGTGCACATAGAGCATCGTTCTTGCTCTTCAAGGAAAACTCTATCAGTATCAAGCATGGTTCGCAACATAGAGAGTTAAAACACTTATTAATTATTTTAAATATGCTCTACTTTAAAGCCTCAGGAATGAAGTACAATCAAGTCACTCTGTACAATATTGACACTGGATTATTGCTGCGGTAATGAACAAAATCTAAATGTGTTGCATATCAGGGCACCTGTCGAGGGGCCCCTGAGACCGAGGCAGTCCCTGGAAGAGGCAGTACAAGCTGCAGGCGCAGGACCCATTAAAACATGTCCAGGCCACAGCAGTCCTGTTGCTCCTCAGACAACATGGGCACCTCCATTTGGTCCACCCTGCTGGCTCCTGAATACACAGCCCTATCTGAATCCTGACTTGATCAAATTTTTGTACCAGACTTGACCTCTCTACAGCCTGTTTTTTCTCAGCTGTAGAATGGGGATATTTACTGAGCACGGCTATTTTGAAGATTAAAAGGAAATGCATGCCAAGTCCCAAGTTCAGTGCCTGGCACACAGCAACCACTTTGTCCTCTCTGCCGTCTGAATCGCTTGGTCCCCCTAACTCTTCCAGACTGTCAACTCATGCCCTTTCCTGGAACACTGAGATGTTGTTTTACCATTATGCCTCATTTCATCAATATACATTTTCCAGCCTAACAACAGGGTAGATCTGTAAAGCCAGAGATGGTTGAATAAACATATAGCAAGTTATCGAATAAACATAGCAAGCCTGTGAAAAACAGTGAGGTTATAAAGTTTGTCCTAGATCAGAAACACAACTGGGAAGCAGACAACGGCCTCGATTGTCAGATCCCTATTGGCTTTTTTTTTTTCTGCCATATCATCTTGAGGACTATTTAAAGGAAGAGCCAGACACCTACTGATGGAGGAAGAGGAGAGGCAGGAACGTGAGTGAGCTGCTATGCACAATCCCACCGCTGGGCCAGATGAACAACACACTTACCTTTCCTCATGTCACAAGTGGGCTCTTCAGGCTTTGATTCAGTTATAATTAATCCTAGCTTTTATTTCATATTAGGAAAATTTCTGATTGGGCATTTAGAGGGGAACCAGATGATTTGGGCACAGAGGCAATGGCAGGTATCCGGAGTGGAGCTGAGGCCCAGGCTATGGGCTTCACAGGCTACTGCTGGGGCCAAATACGCATATCAAGTACATAGGTTTTCCAAATCAATTGCATTTCTGCAGTGCAGCAAATTTTCTTGCAAGTATTATTTTCTACATCTTTTTCCAATTCAGTAAACTAGTTTTTTAAAGCTCAAGAGACTAAATCCCTAATTTGAACCCTTTGCAATCTATCAACATGTCACTTGTGTTACCAGGTAAGTTCACTGTTGGGGTGGGCCTGGGTACAAACTTAGAAGCCAGGGGCTAAGTTCAAATCTTAACTTCTAAACATAGTATCTTTGAGGCAATGGGTTTTGTGCTTCAGTATCCTCATATTTAAATGGGTAAAACTCAGAGTTCCTATCTCACCGAGAATTAAATGAATTTGTGTGCACAGTACACATGTATACAGGTATATATTATATATACATGTACAACACATAAACATGGGTGTTCTGTACACATACACATACACATGAGTTCACATGTATAATTATACACACTACAATTATTGGTTAAAGTGTATGCCCCCAGACTTCGTATGTTGACATTCTAACCCCTAGTACTTCAGAAAGTATTTGGAGACAGGGTCTTTATGGATGTAATCAGGTTAAATTGGAATAATTTAAAGTGGGTCCTAATCCAATAGGACTGGTATCATTATAAGAAAATTTGGACACAAACATATTCAGAGGGAAGACAATGTGGAGATATGCAGAAGCCTCTGCTAGTCAAGGACAGAGAACTGGACCAGATTTCCCCTACAGTCCTCAGAAGAAACCAACCCTGCCAATAGACTTCTAGTCTTCAGAACCGGGAGAAAATAAAGTTCTATTAAGTCACCCAATCTGTGTTACTTTGTTACAATGCCAGTAGGGAACCCCTAGAAAACTAATATGGGGTGGGGGAAGCACCAGCACTCTAATAGCTACCTAGCACATTTAAGTAGCAATGCTTAAATATTAGCTAATGATAGTAATAAGTGTTATTAGCAGGAAGTATGTTGTTTCACACTGTACTTTTAAAAACTTCACCAGTGGATATAAAAATCACTTGGAAATACAGCTTGAAATGCCAGGCTGGCCAGGCTCACTCTTGGGGTCTAGGTCCAACAGTAAGAGCTGCACAAGGAGCCACATTTTGGAGTCACCATATTTTGTTTCAATCCTTAGTGCTTTTCTCTGCCTTTTGTAAGTCAAACATGAGCTGGTATCATGACTGATTTGATTTTGAAATGAACATTTCCTACCGCTCCTCTTGCCAGCTTGCCAATGAGTTTAATGGAAATGCATTGTTATATCAAGGCAAGCTACAAAAAAAAAGTTACATTTTATAGCTGCTTATCTGTGAATTCCTCTCAGTATTATGCAATCAAATCACAATGGAACAGTTCCGGACCTGAGGCTGATATAAGATTACAACCACCATCCATAACCCCTTCTTGTGGATTTCTGTGTTCACTAGTCTCATTTTCCTTCATTGACTGTTTATTATAAGTAAATTGTAAACTTCTGTTCTTGATGTAATACAGATTTATACTAGTACAAAATCCTGATTCTTACCTATGTCATAAATTAGAGAAGTGCAGAAGAGTTTGTTTTCAAAAGAAGGGGGCTATAAGGGTTCATTTTATGTGTCGACTAGAACTGGCCACAAGTACCTAGATAATTTGGTTAAACATTATTCTGGAGGTTGCCTGTGAGTGTGTTCCTGGATGAAATTAACACTTAAATCAGCAGATTTATGGGCCTCCATGGTGGCACAGGAGTTAAAGTCTCAGCACTATGAAGCTATCACCAGCCACTGTGGCATGAGTTCAATCACCAGCCACAGAGCTGACCCACGTGGTGCAGCAGACCCCTCCAGTCTCACCCACTGCTCCCCTCAGCAGTGTATTTCAGTCGGTCTGCCTGTTCTGCTCCCAAATTTGTCTCTGGTGAATCCTCTCACCCCCCCCACACCTCTGGCTTATACCCCAGTTCTTGTATGCATAAATAAATAAAAATGAATCTAAAAAATTTAAAAAAAATCAATAGACTTAGAAAAGCAGACTTTTCTAAGGAGGGTGGGCTTCATCCAATCTATTGAAGGCCAGAATAGAACAAAAACGGGAAAGAAAGGAGAATTCTCTCTCTGCCTGACAGTCTCAGAGCTGAGACATTGATCTGTCTTTGGACCTAGACTGGCACTTACACAATCAAAATTCTTGGGCCTACAGCTTGTTTTATAGGCCAAAATTCTTGGGCCTACAGATCTGGGGACTAGTCAGCTTTTGTAATCACATGAATCAATTCCTTATAATAAATCAAGAGTGAGATCGATTAGGGACGCTTTGTCTCTAGAGACCCCTGAGTACCAGCAAAGAGCTCTTCTGCTCTGATTAGTACTCCATATCTCACACACTTTAGGAGAAACTGTTTGTTGAGTTTCATTCAAATAAGCTTTGCCTCCCCTAAAGCACCACTGTTACGTTTCTTCCAGTCTGGTGAACAAGAATGATGGCCAGAAGTCACATACCAGTTTTGCTCAACTAGAGTAACAGCATTGACCCTTAAGAGCTGATATCTTCACATTCTCTTCAGTCTCATCATCACATTACTGATTACTCAAGGGGCTTAGTAATCTCATTAAATACACCAATATTTTTTTTTTGGAAAAGTGAAATTATAGTCAATGATATTTTTGGTTAACTCACAGATCCAAATTTCATTTGCATCTACCTGCAGATAGTAACAATCAGACATTTTCCATTAAAAAAAAAAGAACAATTTTGGCTTTTCTTTCCCCACTCTTTTCTCCACCCCACCCCTAGGTATTTTCTCCAGACTAGAACTGAATAACGTAAAAAAGTATGATTTGAAAATGTTGTATCACCTGACAGTTTCTGAAGCATCACCATGTTCTCTGTAATTATTTTTAACTGTAGGCTCGACGGGCAGATATATTGGCTTATCTCCTCCTGCCCAGGTTCCTGAAAGACAAAACATAGCAATTACTGTTAAAGGAAAGAATTACAAAAATCATGCATCTTTAATGAAAGACACGGGAATAGAAATATTATTCTCTAGCTCAGTTGGTTCCCAGTTTGAGTCTCTTGTGAGACTTCCAGTAACTCTGGGGGGATTAGAGAGAACCTTGAACTGAAGGAGTCAGGATGCCAGGGTTCCAGTCCTGCCTCTACATTTAAGTGGCTAAATGACACTGAGTAGATCAATTATCCCTTGCAGATCTCAGGTATCTGTAATTCTGAGGATCGGGATACACCACAATCGAAACAGTTTGCATAGGGTTAGGGTATGGGTCCTGGAACAGCCAAGGTGACCTTGGATAAAGTTACTACTTAGTATTTAACTCTGTCCTTCTGTTTCCTTATCTGTGAAATGGAAACAATAACACATTTCCCTCAAAGTCACCCCTATGAGACTTCACAAATTAATGCAGGTTGAGTGCTTAGAATATTGTCTGACCCAAAGCAAAGCCTTCTTTAAGTGTCAGAATTATGAAAATCTCCAACGTGTCTTATAATTTTATAATTATTCAACTCTATGATTCTGGTGCCTTCCCCCAAAATTCTCTTTATTCTTGGATTTCAAGATTGGGATAGAAAGGGAACACAGAATGAAAATGTTGTAATTGAAGAGTCCTGTTTTTCTCTTTGTCAATATATTAATATAAAGTTGGAAATAACAGAAATTTCACAAGCATCAAACACAAATAAAATAGGCCATTGGAATAAAATTTCACATGGTGAAAGTCTTAAAAGGAGTGGAAGAAGATGGAAAAAAATGTTTTGTTTTTCAAGGGAAAGAAACAACACTTGCTAGACACCCACCATCTGTTGGGTCTTCTACAGCCTCATTCTGTTGAACCTCTAATATCATTATGAAGTAATCACAACTGTCCCCATTTTACAGATGGGGAAACTGAGGCTCAAGGAGATTAATTACAGTTCCATAGACCTATGGTTCTTCAAAGGCAGACTCAGATGCCACCCAAGCCTGTACCCCTTCCACACCAGAAGGATGGCTTAAAATACAGGCATTCCTCACTCAGGTGATGACAGTTCTGGGGAAGCTGGTTTTTGTAAAGTAAACTATAATTAAAGTATAATTTGATTTATAAAGAAAGAATTTGCTCTTCAAAAAGAACACTTGAAGAGCCTCCCCTGGTGGAACAGCGGTTGAGCGCTGGGCTGCAAAGCTACCCGCAGCCTCTGCAGTGCCGGTTCTATCCCCAGCCCCTGGCAAGGGTCCCACATGGCGCACAGACCTCTCCTGCTGCGTCCGCTGCTCCCCTCAGCGGTGTATTTCGTCAGTCTGCCTATTCTGTTCACCACTCTGGCTCTGGTGAATTCTCTCACCTTCCCTCCCACACTTCTGACTGTGCCCAGTGCTTGTATAAATAAATAAATAAATCTTAAAAAAAAAAAAAAAGAATGCTCACATAAGCTTTACTACAAAACATAAACTAATATACAATAACAGCTTCTGCAAAATAATGTATCACCTGTTAATTTCTTACTATCAGTAACAGGAACGTGAGAACAGTTGTCAAATTAAAGAATTGAAATAGAGTAAATAATTGGAATGCAACAAATTAGATGATTTGGGTTGTAATCCTACTGTTAACACTTACTAGCAGATACAGTCAATATCTCAAATTTGAATAAAGATAATTCCACAGCATCCCTCATAATTGATGAGGTTGGGATACAAGACAAGAGAGTTTCCACATTCTTCAATGCTGTTTCTATTTGGCTTCATCTTTAAAAAGTGTTTCTAAAGTCTCTTACAGGTTTATACTCTCTTCTACAAATCCTTCCCTCACCCCTCCCATCTTGAGCACAACATGAAATTCACTCCAGTTCCCTGATTTGGACCTTGAGGTTCCATTGACTTGACACCTAGAAGACTTGACTGTAGGTATGTTTCCTGAAACCAGGTGCAAAGGCCCAGATAATAGAGGCCAACAACTTCATTTTTTTTCTTCTTTTTTGGCATTTTCTGCTTTTTGAATTTTGTTCATGCTCTTACAACTGACACTATGGTTTACTAAGCAGAGGTTCAGTAAATGATTGTTGAATGAGTGGAAGAACTGTTGTGAGGAGTGACCTCCAAGTCAGTCCAAGGGAGCTGCACATTGAGGGAGGCATGGCCGACTCCACGCTATTAGGACTGCCTGGGATCCCAGTGCTACAAAGCCCAATCATCCCAGCCACCATCCCTGCCACTCCTCATCTTCCTTTGCTGGACACTGCCACCCCTCCTAACTGCAGCTGTCAGCCCTGGGATCCTGTGTGGCCACACTGCAGCCAGTGCTAACCTGGAAGCTGGAAGCGGGACTCCATGAGGCTGGGCACACAACCATCAAGGGGTAAAGCGGCCCCTGTGCTCTCATACTGCACCAGCCACTTTCCTGGATATCCTGGCCTCACCCTGCACCCCAAGTATGGCTGGGACCAACAATACCTGAGGTAGTGAATAGCACTGGAAAGTGGAAGGTGGAGCTTTAACCCCCTGCTTGAATAGGTGCTGTTGCGAGTGAGCAGAGGAGCAGAATTGCCATAAAAACTGTAAAAGCTAGAGCAGAGTATGCTCTCCCACTGGTGTGATGGCAACATCAGCTTGACCCTCAGCCCCTGTGCTCTGACCTGATCTGTCTCTCTTCCCTTTTTCCCAGTGTCCAGTCCTAAAGCTGCTGCTTCTTATTTTATTTTTTAAAAGATTTATTTTATTTATTTATGCATACAAGAGCTGGGGTGTAGGCCAGAGGTGCAGGGGTGGTGGGGGGGAGAGAGAGGATTCACCAAAGACAAAGTTGGGAGCAGAAGAGGCAGACTGACTGAAACACACTGCTGAGGGCAGCAGCAGTCGAGACAGGAGAGGTCTGCTGCTCCATGTGGGTTCTGACCAGCAGGACAGCTGCTTCCAATTGCCAGGTCCCTGGACTTACCACTTCAGGTCAGCCGGCCAAGCCCTCTTCCTCCACGCCTGCAGCTGGCTCTGGATTGTCATGGAAGGGCTGGCTGCCATCCTTCACGATTTGACTTTAACTGCCACACAGACACTATCTGGGTGGGAAAGATCACATTTGGCCACATGCAGGCCAATAAACTATCTCTTTCTGTCTCTTCTCACTCCCTGTAAATAAATGTTGTTGTTGTTCCTCCCCATGTATCTGTTTTTCAATAGTCTCCTGCAGTTGTAAGTGCGAGGATAAGACCCAACTTAGTCACCAACTGAGCCAAATCCCCTGGGTTTGCTCAGATTCAGAACCACTAAATACCATTTACCTGTGCCTGGATACAAAGTCAGTTTATCATTTCTGAGATCAGTGAAAAAGTATGGGGAATATAACCAAGATGAAATGCATACATTGTGCAAAAATGAAAAATGATGTAAAAAATACATAAAATAAAATAAAATATTAAAAAAAATAAAAATATATATCTAGAAATAGACAGCTTTTTTCCTTTATTCTAATAGTTTCTCTCTTCACTTGGCATGATGATTTTTATTTACTGTTTTGTGTTATTCTAAGTAAAGGAAAACTAAATATTTAGATCATTAACAAGAATCTTATTCATCTTTATATTTAAAATGACAGCTTTAAGTGCACCTGTGAGAGGGAGACTACACAGGTCCAAGGCCTGTGAGGTCAACCCAGCCTGAGCACAGTCCAAACAAATTAAGGTATAATGACAAAATTCGACTTATCTCCTGACATGTACTTACTTAATAGTTTCAATCAAAATCAAGGAAATCTGCATATGACAGGCAGAGGGCATTAGGGAGTAGCTCTCTTTAACTTGTAATAACACACACAAAAAAAAAAAAAAAAACCCAACTCTCATTTAACTGATTGCAAACCAAATTTATTCCCATGGAGATGAAGTCCTTCTATAGTACATACAATATTCAAGTAAGTTTCTATCTTCTTTGGGGGGAAAAAAAAAGATAGAAAATATGTATTTGATATAAAGAATTATGGATGGAGAAAATTGCTGGGTTTTTTTTACTTATATTCCATTCTACCTTTGTGCACGCGAGAGGCTGACAAGATATTATATCATAATTATGGGCTCCCCTAGCAGCTTGAGTATCAATGGTTCCTATTGTTCCAAGCATTTTGCAAGCCCATGGGCTCCAAGATTGCATCACGAACAGAAAAAGAGCAGGAGCTAATTGCATTGCATATTTATACTTCCTCAGTTCCCACCATTACCTACATAATTCCCCATGGGTTCTAATTAGCTCAATCAGGGCTAGGGGAATAAAATTTTAAGCAATTTCAAGTAAATATGGGTTTGCTACCACCATGAAATTTGGTGAAAACTGAACCTTACCCAACTACAGTTTATCTTCCATTTCTGTGGAGGAAAAAAAAAAAAACCTGGCTATCTCTTTGTTGAGCTTTGATTTAATCAAAGATATTACTCTTAAATAATATCAATCTTGGTGCTTTGCATTTTCATGATTTCCTGGAATCAAAGGGGAAAAATCCATTTTTTCCCTTTTAAGTGATGTTATAAACATAACATCCAATAACCCTGTGTGCTCCCTTCTCCCCTCATGCTTTATAATCTGCATAGCCCAGAATCCTTCCCTTTTAATCCTGTGCAAACTATAATGAATAGTGCTTAGGAAAAGGATTTTCCTGAAGGGCCATGCTTGAAGAAAATGAACTCTACTACATCAGGTATCAATCAGTGATTAAAAGTTTTGAGAAATCATCTTTTTTATCTATAAGAGAAAGCATCTAAAACTTCACTGAACATAAACAAGAGCACTGTCAGAGTTGCTCCTTTTCCCCATCACCTCATTATTTATTCATCTGGCTTCAGAAATTTCAGTTCTAATCAGGGTGACGGTTCCTGCGGCTGCACTTACAATCAGCTCAATGCCAAACGGCCTCACACAATCACCCTCCTCAAGTCTACAGATGACTCCTAATGAAGAAAATTATTCAGAA